TATATATATATATATATATATATATATATATATATATATATATATATATATATATATATATATATATATATATATATATATATATATATATATATATATATATATATATATATATATATATATATATATATATATATATATATATATGTAGTGGCGGATCCACTGCATTATATGGGGGCAATTCCCCCCTACTACTTTTTTTTTACTTTGATTTTTTAATTTTTTTAGAGTTTTATTATTAATGACCCCAACTAAAAGTCTTAAAATATTAGAGACCCAAATTAAAAAATGAAGACCTCAACAAATAGTGTTAAATGAGAGCAAATGATAAAAGTTAAATATTTATAGATTAAATCAATACTTCCTCTGTCCCGCAAAATCATTCTCGTTACAAAATAATTGCGTCTCTTACAGTCATTCCCATTTTTATTAAAAAACTACTTTTATCCCTTATTATTTCATACCCTACCTATCACATCATACATTTTTCCTAATAATCTACACATCATATTCTACTTTTACCCATCTTATCAAGGGCATTTTTGTAAAGTTCACACAAAATTATCCTTTCTTATTTTATCACTTTAGTCAAACCGTCTCTATCTTTATGGGACGGAAAGAGTAGAATATTAATGTGAAATTTTCAAAAATCACGAAAATAAAATCTAAAGTGCAACACTAAAAATATATACACATAGTAATAATAAACAAAGTTATAATGCAATACATAAACTACGGAGTAATTTTTATAAAAACTTTTTAGTTTATTATTTGAATATTTGTTTGAGATTAAATTCACTATTTTTTAATGTTTTGTATTATTTGTATTAAACAATTCTGGGGCGTTGCCCCGAAATCCCGCATGGTGCCCCCTACTCTCTAAGTTCCTCTATCCGCCACTGTATATATGTATATGTATATGCATATATATATATGTGTGTATACACACACACATACACACACACACACACACACATATAATGTGGGGGGAAACCAGGACATTATTTAAGGAGAGGGGAGAGGTATTGGGGAATATGTGTAATGTGGCTACCAAAAGCCGTAGTGCAAACTTTAGATCCATTACCAAAAGTGATATATAGTGGCGAATATAAATCTTGAGAAGAGACATGAGAAAGAGTACCTGAATCAGAGGCAATGTGGTGTGAGGCACTGGTATCCATAAGCCAAGTAGGTTCGTGGAGGGACATAGTGTCAAAGTGATGAGCTAAGGCACTGGATGTGGGTGGGTATGGTGTTGGGTATGCTGTAGGGTTGGGGGGTTATGGGGCTGACGTGGGGCTGGGGGTGTAGGGTGGCGGGTAGGGGTAGGTTAGTGGGTAGGGATATGGGATTGAGGGTGGGGTAGTTGTGTAATATGCATGGGCGTGATAGGGGTGGGGTGGGAGTGGGCCGGGGGCCCAACAACCCTGGGCTAGGGTTTGGGTATGGTGAGTTCAAGGGATTGTAGTCGTCCGTTGGTGGTCGCTGTCTCGAGCCTCCATTTTGGCGCCCTCGACCACGACCCCGGTTACCATTGCCGCGCCTTTGTCCGCGTCCAAAACAGCCACGTTACCTGGAGGAGGGACCGTCACTGTAGTTGCTGCCAAAACCGGATCCGCCACTTCCATGTGGTGCGCCGCGACTGCCTTGCTATCCGTCGCTAAAGTTATCGTCGTCTGGAGCCGCCAGCGAACGAGTGGGATCCTGAAATTGGAGTTTGCTGGCAATCGAGTTGAAGAAGTGCCAACCGAACCTGTAGGAAACTCGACATGGGATCGTGAAATTGGAGGAAAGAGGTCTGAGCTTGAAGATCGTCGGGGAGGCCGCGTAGCATCTGTAGGATCAATTGATGCTCTGACATGGGAGCGTCGACATCGTCCAGCCAATCCACAATATTTCTAAGATTTTGACAATAGGTGGCAATGGGAGTTGATCCCTTGACGGTGGTGCGGAATTGATGCTCGAGTTGCATGGCACGTGCATGCTTGTTGTCGTGGAACAAATCAAGAATCACCTTCTAGAGTGCAGAGGCAGTAGAGATAGAAGAGAGGACCAGATTAGATTCTTCATCTGTAATGGTGGAGAAAATCCAGCCTTGAAGGATGGCATCAAGCTAGAATCATTCATCATCATCGTTTGAGAGAGGGACGATTGAGCCGTTGAGATAACCCTGGAGATTGAACCGTCGGGCAAGAAGAAGTAACAGAAGACTCCACTTTTTGTAGTTTGGTTGAGAGAAGCTGAGTTGTATAGGTACATGGAGTTTGACGCTGGAGATAGTGAAAGCCAGGTGTGGAGGTTTTAGGGTTGCCGATTGAGAGGTGACCTCACTTTCAGCCATGGTGAGGAGAGGGAGAGAGCTGCCGACCGATGAAGGAGAGGGGTGGCGGTGGTGGGTGTTCGGCGAGGAGAGGAGGCCAAAAAACAAGATGAATTTAGGGTTTTTGGTTAGGCTCTGATACCATGAAGAAGAATTATTTTCATTGATTTAATTTGTGTGAAGAGTACATGTATATATACCAAGAGTCTCAATCCTAAATAAGGTAGGATAGATATAATAGCCTATACAAATATGGTAACAATAATAATACAATAATATTAAATATTTATATATTTAACACTGAGAATGCAACCTGAAAATATACGGGAGTTCATGCGATGGGAGGAGGTCGACCAGACCATCATCATTGTTTTCTTGAGGTATGACAAGAACTACATGTGAATAAAATGAAATCGTGTTCTAATTATACAAGAATTTATGCGATGTGTGTTCTAATTATTTTCTAAGATCTTAATTATCATTTACTTGTCAAATAGCAAGATTGTTCCACAAATATTTGATGGAGCACGACATCACGAGTGTCGGGTCATTATGTGTGGAGAGCATGGCGTAGATCGTGACTTTCTAGATAGAACCCTCGATTCCTATCAATCGCGACCTTGGATACTTTTGTCGTTGTATCCTCCGAGCTCGTATGTTTTCTAAATCATTTTAAATAAGTATTCAAGTTTTTTATTTCTATTATTGATTACGAAGCTATTGGCTAACGGTTTTTGAATTGTAGGCATCATTCGGTGTTAGTTGTAATATGGTTGTTTTAAAATAAAGTGTATTTCTTTAACTCCATCTTCGGGATTGGAGGGCATCAGAAAATGAAAGTGGAGACTTTCGTAAACAAGTAAGCATTAATATGAGTTATGTTAATAATATTGATGAAAGACTTTATTTGCCACAAACTTTTTTTCTTATTGACTCATTTTTTTTCAAATATTTAATTAAGGTCTTGGCAGTTACTTTGGGAAAGGAACATGCCCTAGCTTAAGGCTCCACCAGATGGATTGATGTTCATAGAGTACCACAACAACCAAGAGAGATAGAGTGTGAATATTATACTATTCAATTTGTATGGCTCATCCTCACTTTGTGAACTTAATGTTTCCTACCGTTATTCGATGTAAGTTCCTTTTAGTATTTTCTTGTAACAATAGTGTTGTTATTTAATATAGATTATTTAAAATTTATTGTTGTATGTATTCGTCTGTATTGTAGATGTTTCGTTCTACTTCGTCATACACGCTTGTCAAATTGGAGGAGGTTAGAGAGTTTTGGGCTTGTCATTTTCTTGATAAATAAGTGTAAGTTTCATATGTTTGTATTGATTGTATGACTTCTTTGTTAAAATGAATATATAGTTTAGTTATTATATTGTGGTGCCATAATATGAGTTGTTTGTTAAAAGTTTTGTTATTTTTGTTTTGGTGAATATGTTATGAGGCTCTTTTGTTCTGTTTTGAGTTTGTCTGTTCTACTGTATTTGTTCTAGTCTTTTCCAATGTGCTATTCAAAAAAAAAGTATACCTTTTAAATCAATTGTTTGAAAACAACCAATTTAAAAGGTTCTTCCCAGAAATGGCGCTAGTCCAGAGAAGGACCTTTTAAATAAGTTGTTTTGAAACAACTGATTTAAAAGATTTTTCCTAAAAATGGCGCCAGTTCAGGGAAGAACCTTTTAAATCAATTAGTTGAAAACAACTCCCAAAACTAGCTCTAATTTTGGGAAGGGTCATTTTGAATCAGTTGAATAACCAATGCCAATTTTTTTTGCACCAATTGCATCATAACCTTTTGCATCGGTTCAAAACCAATTTAATGGTTAAAAACAACTTTTTCAAAAAATAATTTATGTGGTAGTGAATTATTCCGATTTAATTCTCTTTATTTGAATTACAACCAGGATTACGAAACAACATAATGAACTTTGGGGTGAGTATGATCTAAGAAAATGAAAGATAAAATAAAATATACAATCCAAAGCACATATTATTTGTATCAATGACAACAAAATGAGCGACAGGATAATCAAATTCTGCCCCAACCCCCCCCCCCAGCCGCATATTTCAGAAGAGTATTGTTATTGTGAGTTAACATGATCATAAAGCATATTCAAGGGGCAGTCTATGACACCGCAAATACATAAGCAGCCACATGATCATAAAGCATTTTCAAGGGGCAGTCTATGACACCGCAAATACATAAGCAGCCAACGCCAAACTGCCAATTAGAATAGTCACCAAAAACTGTTATCATCTCTCACCACACTATAAAGTCAATTGCACGGCAACAAGAAAAAATTACTTGGACGACGATCATCCATCTATTCAAGCCAGGTTGCACCCATTACCTTAGCCATGAACGCATACCGGTCGGCAGCTTCGTCAATTTTCACCCGAGAAAATATAGATGCAATGAAAATCAAATCAACTTTGTGGTACTACTATTAATTGATAGTAGAAAGGGAACCTTCCAACTAGAGAGGGAAACATAAACATTAAATAAAATGGTTCACCATTTTTTTTGTAGGAAGTCTGGCTCCATGCCCAGCTTTATGTTCTATCCTACCAATAATGGGGTTGCGCTGGGGGCTTTTCTCCATGCTTGAGCATAATACATATTGCATGGTCTGAAAAAAACAGCCGTGAACGATAAAACATGATGGAAATGGAGTCAAGATACCATGTATAATTACCATAATCCTACACTTCGTAGGCTCATGTAAGCACAGAAGACAAAAAAAAAGTTTTGTGGACACTAAATCAACAAAACAAGCTTATAAAGAAAGTTCCACTGTTTTGTGGAATCCATATCAACAAAACAAGCATACCATGTTCAAGCTTCTAAGTTAATAGTTCAACAGTTTTGCCCTTGTTTGGTAAGAGGATTTGGAGGGGAGCGAAAGATAGTGGAGGGGTGTGTTCGGTTGGAGAGTTGGGCTGGGGAAGAGTAAGGTGGAGAAGCTACAGATTCCTCTGAACTCCTTATTAAACACAATATTTTCACATTGTCTTAAAGACTGATTCTTCATCACTCCTAAGGTGAACTAAACATCACTTCTTTTACCCACCACCCACTCAGCCCCCATATCCCCTATTTTGTCTACAACTCCCGGCCCTAAATGGTTGAAAGCAAATTTTAGCATACTAAACAAAAATCAGGACCATTGCTTGCCTTAGATGCTAGTGTCTCAGTAATCACTATATTCTTCGTTATGGACGGAATATTGCCAGGGGGTAAGGTGCACCAAGAGAAATATAAGACCTAAAGTCTAATGCATCTTTTGAAATAACCTACTATAAAGATGTGTCTACCAGTTGTGTAAGAAAGTTGCAACCTACTGTGTGTGATATTCCCTTTAATGTTGGTTTTACTTGTTTCCCAAAGAACTTGTGTTACCCGGTTGTCCGCGATGTCCTTGTCTAACGAATTTCCCTGTGCGGGAATCCACCAGAAACTATTATCACATAATTTTGTTCTTGTATGATTTCTGTAGTCAATGTTTGTAAAGTTGACAAGATTAGTGTAAAAAGTACTTCCTACGTCCCACTTTGTTTGTTGTGTTTCAGTGTATGATGTTTGATTAAAGTTTTTTTAAATTCATTCTATTTAAGTATTGGTGTAAGATTTAAATATAAAATTTATATAATTAAAATATACATCAAAAGATATACAAAACAAGAAATGACATATACATACATTTGTGCGCAAACCATAGTTACTAAAGGCGCTTGCCATTTGCACTTATGGCGCCTATGGCGCTGAGGCGTGTAGATGACACCTGCGTGGCATTTTACGAGTGGCACGCCATGGGGGTTTCCGTTTGCGCCTAGATTTTTGGCGACAAGCTTATGCTATCTTCACTTGCGTTTGGTCAACCCTACGCCACCCATTGCCTCTGTTCGATTCAACTGGATTCTTCTCCATCACGATTCCTTGTCATATCCAGCACATCCCTCTTCTCTCGTCGCAGTGTCGCACACAGTCACAACTTGCACAAATCTATGAACTCACGACTCGCACAAATCTATGAACTCACAACTCGCACAGTCGCAGCCCTCTTCTCTTTTTGGGCAACAAGCAACCCTCTTCTCGATTTCTGACTTTACTGCATACTACTCTGTATTACGAGTATTCTGTATTTATTTTTTTATAATGTTTTCTTTATTCACTAAGTGGGTATATCTTTTGTATTGTGTGTGTGTGTGTGTGTTTGCCATTTGACCGCAAGTCGTGTTTAATCACCTCGCTTTAACTCTTCTTAGGTCTACCTCTACCCTAATCGCATCCCGTACCTCTAACCTCTCACACTTCCACAGTGGAGCATCCACACTTTTCCTCAATCTTAGTCTAGCTTCATGCATCTTGAGACCGCTCCAACCTTCCCAGGGATATCTTTGTTCCAAACCTTATCCATCTTCATATGACCACGCACCTGTCTCAGCATCCTCATCTCTATCATTACTGTTGAATTTGAGCATTATACACTGTTCAGCACTCCACTCCATACACAATTAGTCTGACCACGGTGTGATTAACTTTCCTTTCAGTTCCATTGATATCCTCTTATTGCACGGGACACCAAATCAAACTTCCACTTCATCCAAGCCGCTCCAATACGATGAACATCCCTAACGACCTCCCCCATCAACCTAGACGATGGATCCAAGGTATTGAAAGTTGAAACATGTCCCTTTTAGATATTGGATGCATAACAAACTTCACTTTCATTTTTGACTCAATAATCAAACCAATAAAACAACACACCATGTAATTGATCTTAGTTCTTCTCAATCGAAAACTTTTGAATTCCAAGGTTTGTCACAACACCACTAGCCTATCATTTAGTTCCGCACATGTGTTGTCAATCAAAAGAACGTCATCCGCAAAAAACATGCACCAAGATATCTCCCCATGAATATGACATGTCAAAACATCCACCACTAAAGCAACCATGAAACGACTATCCCGGGATAATATCTATTCACAGATGATGAGAAAAACTAATGGTCAAAGTGTTGTATTAGAGACTAGAGTAAAATNTATAACATGCAGCAATAACATAGTAGAATCCCATGAAAGTAGGGCCTAGTGAAGGTGTGTGTATGACTGTATGCAGACCTTACCCCTACTCAAAAGTAGAGAGATTGTTTTCAAAAGATACCGCCAACTCGAGAAAACACATAATGCACAAAAAGCAATGAGCACAACAACATAAGCAGCTAATAATATAGAGAAAAGACAGAAACACAAAATGAAAGAAAAACAAAAACAGAAAGCACCACACAAAGAAGCATGCAATAACAAGTCCAGAAAACTACCACCAAGTCAAAAAGCCTACCTAACTATCCTAGTTTCAGCTCTCGAGATGAACCTGGGGTTATATTCTTGATAAGGCCCAAAAGTACTAAGTCATTCCTAATCACCACCTTCCAATTCTTTTTAAGTCTACCCCTTCCCTCATTCCTGTCCACCCCTGTAAGCCTCTCACATCTTCGCAACAGAGCCTCACGTGTCCAAACTACCTCAGCCTTCCTTTCCTCATCTTATCCTCCTGGACTCACCACTCATCCCACATAACCTCATTCTGGATGATGTCCAACCTTGTTTGTCCACACATTCACCACAACATCTGCATCTCTACAGCATGTTGTTTACAATCGTGAGTTTTCTTAACTGCCCAGCACTCCCTACCTTACATCATGGCTGGTCCAGCTACTGATCGATAGAATTTCCCTTTCATCATTGCCGAAATATTCCTATCAAAGAGAATTAATGAAGCCAACCTCCACTAAGTCCTCTTCAGGTTATTTTTTCTACTTACTCCATCCTTCCATAAATTAACTTTTTAATTACTATTCTAGGCTCTCGATAACTTTTATTTAATTGAGTGTTTTCATTAACTTGATAAAATAAAATATTCTGGTCACATCTTGTTTTATAGAATTTTGATATTCTTTTGAAATATGTAATTTTTACTTTTTTATTTCTATATCAATTTGCAAATAAAATAAATTGAAAAAAGAGGTGAAATTTTGCACGTTGTTCGAAATGGAAAGTTAATTTGTGGACAGAGGGAGTATTACTTATCCTTATTGGAACCTGATAAGATTAGTTCATACCATATCCGAATATCACCTCATATCAGACTACATCAAATAAGATCAAACCTTAAAATTGTATATTAGAACCAATTACATCAGGCGCAATGAATAGAGCCTTAACCCAAACAACTCCAATACGTTGAGCAGCATCAAGATCTATCTCCCCATCTGCCTAATTGATCGAGCCAAGGTACCGAAACTTGTCGCCTGACCACTAAAGCAACATTCTATGTACTCGGTCATAATCCTGCTCCGTCTGAAGCCTTTGAATTCGAATAAAGGCGTCAAAACTCCAATTTGTTATTAAGTCCCTCACGTGTCTCATCAATCATTACAATGTCGTAGAAAAAACATGCACCACTGGACTTTCCCTTAAACACCTTATGACAAGACATCCATGACAAAAGCAAAGAGGAAACAACTAAGGGAAGATGCCTAGTGTAACTCTACCTCTACAGAAAAAGGCTCAAACTCACCCCTATAGTCTTTACCCTAGTTCTTGCCCCAACATACATATCTTTAACCTCACGAATGTACACAATCTGAGCCCTTTTAAACTCAAGACACCTCCACAACATCTCTCGGTTCCATGCCATATGCCATTTTCAAATCAATTAACACCATATCTAGGTTCTTCTTCTTAGCCCTACACTCTTCTTCCATCAACCACCGCAAAAGGTGAGTAGCCTCTGTAGTTGACCGAGCAAGCATGAATCCAAATTGATTCTCGAGAAAGCACACCCCCTTCCGCAACATAGCCTCGATAATATGCTCCCAAACCTTCACTATGTGGCTAAGAAGCTTGAGGCCTCTATAATTGACGCAACTCCGGATATCACTTTTACCCTTGAATAGTGTGACCACCATACTCTCCCTCTACTGGTTAGGCATCTTAGCATCTGTAAAAATAACATTGAAGAGCTTGTTTACCCAAACCAATCCACTGTTGCCCACACGGCCACACATTTCCAAAACTCCAACTGAATCTCATCTGGCCCCAAAGCTCTTCCCCTTTTCATTTCGCAGATGACCCGCACAACCTCCTCCTCACAAATACATTGACAATACCAAAAGTCTCGATGCTGGTCCCAGATCGCCTAAATTGGGCCTTAGTTCTCCTCCTGCATCCAGCAAGCAACAGAAGTATTCCCCCACCAGTTGGAAACCTCCGCCGCTTCAAACACTGTGCTGGCGTTGTCCATCACACATCTCACATGCTCCAGATCTCGGACATTTCACTCACACGCCTTAGGCCCTTAGCTAGTCAGAAAAGCCTTTTATCACCACCCTGCTCCTCTATGTCCTTATAAAGGCATTTAAAAGTTGCATTTTTGGCCCTAGTGACCTCCAACATATCTTCCATACAGAAAAACCTTATACTCCACCCGAAAGATGCCCTTACCTCTTCATCACCATTCACCACAAACCAAGAACCCTTATACCCTACCTTCTTAACTTCAACCTTACATTAAACAAAATCACACCACCACCAATCACCAGTGTGTTGGTGTCCTATACCATGGCTCAGACCTAGCACTTCCCGGGCGGCTTCCCTAATTTTGTGAGGAGTCTGGAACCACTATCTTCTGAGACACCTAGATTCCCTTATATTGTTTCCAGTGGGAAAGCATTGCTAGCCTCCTACTATTTCAAAATTCAACAAAACAAGACAAAAAAATCCAAACAACCTAACTTTACACACCGCTAATAATTTTAGAGAATGTAATGGCACGACCCTATCATCATGATCCGCTGTCAAAAGCATGGTTGATGGATACTGAGAAGCTTTAATGGGAGTTTGTTCCCACGGCCTTCTGACATTATGTAATGGCGAGTGCCTGAGAAGAAAATTGGGAAGGAATAAACAAGAACTTCAGCTTCATGCATATAATAACATAACATAATAATAACAATAAAAAAAATATAAAAATAAAACTATAAAATTGGAAAGGAATAAACAGAGCCTGATAACTACTTGATCAGCCAATTAAATTCTTCCTCGTTGTCTGAACACCCATAATCAGATGTCCATGCATGGCCTGGAACAAACGAAAAGGGAATCACAGCATAAAAGAAAAAAATACTTAAAACAACCCTCAAACTCTTAGCACAAGTACAATCAGGCCCATCAACATAATTCATATAAATTAACAGCCATTCCCTGAAAGTTAGTGCAATGGCATCTCTGGCAAATGTGATAACATGTGTTAGTTATTGACAAAAAATTGTCGATGTCACGCTGATAGCTAAGAAAATTTAATATTTTTCTCTAAAAGGATCACAAACATCCCCATTCCCATTTGGAGTTAAGAAAAATACATCCTTCACACAGCAGAGCCATTTGAGCACTAGATAAATGTAATATCTTCACTGACCATGCAATGAGCTCAAGGGTGCTGAAGCTTCTTCCTACACTGCTCATCATCAAACTACAATGACATCCCTAGTTAATGATAAATCTACAATGACCAAGAGTTCCTTTGGGGAAAATGAACACAAAGCATGTGTTCATCGATTCATTCTTTTAAAGTATCATTTTGCAGATTTTGTTGTTACGGAAATTACTCAAACTTCAAGGAAATTGAATGGTATATTCATCAATGAAATACGACTTCCTAAATTAGCAATATTACTACCACTAACAATAAATGTGCAGCTAGGTCATATTTCCAAGTAAGCAATATTACTACCACTAAGAGACAAATATATCAACTCAGCAGTCAGCAACACTAACCAGAGATTCCAGGAGATTGCATAAAAATTAAGACTTTAGGAGTTAAAACTGTGAAAAGAATGGCTTTTTTGCTGGTGTGCCTACTTCATTTGTGCTAACAGTTCAAAAACTAATTTGACCCTTTTTTTCCATGAAGTGTTTCAAAATTTTTACTCACCAATTGTAAACTTGTGAAATCTAAGCATGTCCATAACACCAACATGCGCAAGAGCACATCCAAAAAGATCAGGTCTCTACAAGAATCAGATCCAAGGGTGCAGTTAATTTGCTGTTATTCGTTACACAAATATGCAGACAATGAGATTGATGTAACATACTTGATTGATGCAAGCTCCAATAAGAAGCCCACTATTGCTTCCGCCTTCAATACACAGCTTGCTAGGCTGCGTGTAACCAGCAATGACGAGATACTCAGCAGCAGAAATGAAATCATTAAAGCAGTTTTGTTTCTTTCCAAGAGTGCCTGCTTTATGCCATTCTTCTCCATATTCCCCACCACCACGAATATTTGCTATGCAAAAAACAACACCTAAATTCTTTGCAATCACTAGCCGAGCAACAGAAAAGTACGGCGTAATACTAATGTTAAATCCCCCATATCCATAGAGTAAACGGGGGTGTGATCCATCCAAAGAAATATCTTTTTCAACTACTATAAACATTGGTATACGAATACCATCTTTACTGGGAACCAAGACCTATAAAAATGATTCCACCAGACAAATAAACTTTAGTGAAACATTTTATGTTCTTTAATGATAAAAGAGAAGCATATGTAAGCAATCAAGTGGCAAAAACTTTGAAAGAAGAAAAAGAAGATTGCACACCTGATTGACTTGGAATTTCGTCCGATCAAAGCCAGGGACAACTATTTCACGGAATATTTTCATTTCTACAACATCAGTTTTAAGGTTGCACTGATAAATAATCCCAGGGACAAGGAAGTTTGTAAAGCCAACAAAAAATATGTTATCTTTACGGCGAGCAGAGATTCCAGACACCGTTCCGATATCTATAGGCAAATGCTGCTTAAGCATGCCCGTATCTATATTTCTCAACTGTAAAACATGTTTCACATCACGCAAATAGCTTACAACCAATTGATTCTTATTCACAGCTACAGCAGATTCAAGAACATCTTTTTCATCCTCTGCAATTACATCAAGCCAAGAACCAGGTTCTTTAATATCTGACCTAACTAATTTGTACTTGGGAGCATCCTTATTAGTACGAAAGGTGAACACAGTGCCATCATTGGCAACAAACTCATATGATGCATCAAAGGTATCAATGAGTTTCACAAAAGGGAGCATCTCATTTGTTCCTTTATAACCCTCAAGCCCCCTAGGTAATGCAGATAAGTCACAGAAGTAGACTTTGTTTACGGGATCACAGTTCTCAAAAATAGATTGAATAACATACTGCAAAACATAAAATTGGAGGTTATATTTAAATATTGCAAAATAAGAGTAAAAAATTGACACACTATTATTACTCTAAAGATAAGAAAATGTCTTCAAAAATATACGAAGTAGATTAAATTTTGTGTAATCTTACTCCCTGCAACTAACTCAATTATACTAAACCTTGATTACAAAATGGTTGGAAATTAAGGCAATTAACTGTTTATCAGGCCCAGCTACTATGTGGAGATCAACGAGCACTTTCTCACGGACCCAAATATATGGAGGTCCACAAATTTTCAATATCCGATATTTCCATCATTAATAATGCATTTCGCAATCTGCTATAAGTCTTCTTTTACTTCATCCAATTTTTGTTACTCCATTTGCATTCCGGCTTCCTTAACAAACCCTTTTATATAAGTGCGTCTATGACTCTGTGACTTATGCCTTCCTCTCAGTCCTGTACTCCTGTTCATCGCTCGACGGGACGACGTCCGTTTCCAGTCCGAAGCTATCACTGGCATTGTCAAACTCGGATTTCCAAAATCAGTTCTACATTAGGAAAAATTTGGAATCTACATCTCTTTGGACACTATGTAGAAGCTACATATTTTTTTGTCAATTCCTCTTAGCTTATTGGAGTTCCCTTGTAACAAAAACAAGGCCTTCTCGTATAATCTCAACGTCTTGAGCTAAAATTAAAAAATTGAGCCTTATTAACAAAGTTGTTTTCTATTACATTTTCCACATCCAAAATCTAGTTTTTTTATAAAGCAAAAGTTAAGTTTAATAGCAACAAATAACAAACTAGCAAGTAATAATCACCATAAATAACACAACATAAAAATATAAAATGTATCAAGAAATCTTATTTGATAGAAAAAACAAAAGTAATAAACCCCGTTTCCGGCTGAAGGGTTATCACAAACCATGAGAACTTGCTTTATTTATTTCCAGATTGCCCAAATTTTAAGGGTTCATATATATTAATTGGACCATGCTACACTTACACCAAAAAATATACCCCATTTGTACACCACAAGCTTGTACAAACATTTCGATGGTTTACACCGACACAAGTGTTGGTGCGTTAATAAATATTCACACGGACACAAATGTTGGTGCGTTTAACAAAAATTAGTTTTACACCAACACAAAGTGTTGGTGCAAAACTGCGGGGTACAAATTGGGGTACAAACCTTGGGGTACACATAGCATAATCCATATTAATTTTGTTTGGGTCTTCTTTATTCACAGCAACAAAATGAAAGAAAAGTGGAATGTTGGATTGCCTTCTTTAGTGTTTTTATGCAAAGACCAACATGCATAATTGGGAGGATATTTGAACTTATGCTTTAAAACAGACATCATCGTAAAATTAAGAAAATGAAATTAGGTGATTCTAGGTTATTAGGAAATGAGTGTAGTAATATAAGCCACAGAAATCCTTCCTTAGAAGGAAATTGGAGGAACGTTTTTGGGCAACCCAAAAAAAGAGGAGAGAAAATTCAGGGCAGATGGAGTATCTATCTCTGGCAATGTATGGAAGTACCTATTTTTGACCTACTAAATCTTGTTAATGATTCTACTACGTGAAAAACTTGTTGTACTGTATATTTCACATCTGCAACTTGAGGTTGGAGCACATGCCAGATTCCAGCAATCCAACCATTAAAAAAGAACTATGGTCGTATTTCTCAAATCTGACGGACACACCTCTTACCATTCTCCTATCAAGTACTACATGCGTCCCATAAATTTCTTTTCCGCTTGATTTGATATGATTTTTAATAAAGTGAAACGTGCGTGATTTAAGTTTGTGTGGAGGAAAGGGAGATGATATGAACCACACATGGTGATACGGTTACTATCACTATTATTGTTATTGTTGTTGTTGTTGTTGTTGTTATTAGAGTAAATTACATAAAAGGTCCCCAGTTATAGGTCGTTTTACATATTTAGTCCCTACATATCAAATATTACTAATTTAGTCTCTAACTATTATATTCATTTCCACGAATGGTCCTTTATTAACATTTTTGTTAAAAACATAGATAAAATTGTATATTCATACTTCTCTCTCTCTTCAATTAAGTTTTCTCCCTCCTCTCGTACTTTTTCCCAAACTTGACGCTGAGTTTGAAGTTTTAAACCCAAAAGTGAAACGATCATTCCTCTCTCAATTATTAGTCTTCCTCGTGGAACCTAAAATCAAAACCAATAAGCTTTATGGATGAGTTTTATCGGTTAGTCTCACGAAATTGCAAAGAAAATAAACATTAAAACTCATCCATGAAAGTTACTGGTTTTGAATTTGGGTTCCACCAGCTATACAAACAATTGAGAGAAGAGTGATGATTTTGGTTTTAAGTTCAAAGCTTCAAACTTAGCGACGGTTTTGGGACTAAATAACGGTTTTAGTCCCTAATAACTGTGGACTAAATTAGTAATATTTGATATGTAGGGACTAAATATGTAAAACGACCTATAACTGGGGACCTTTTATGGAATTTACTCTTATTATTATTATTATTATTACTCCTTCCGTCCTAAAACTATCTTGTCACTTTCCTATTCAGACCATCATAAAACTTCCTTTCCATTTCCATAAATGGCTAATAAATTAGTAAGAGTCACGTTTGCCCTTCTTATCCCATTCTCTCTTCTTCTTCATCTTCTCTCCAATTCTCTCTGGCCATCTTCTCTCCAATTCTCTCTTCCTGCCTTCTTTACAATACTCTCTTGCTCTTTAACTTCTCTCCAATTTTCTCCATTCTCCCTTAATCTCTCCCTTTGCCTCTTCTTCTTCTTTGATAAAGGACGTGACAAGGGCAGCTCCCCCAGCGATTTGACAAATCCAAGCCGATTGATGAGCTCCAGCGAAGTCCCTACAGCCGATCTCAAATTCGGGTTCTGTCAAAGCACATGTGCATATCTCATTTTTATAGGAATCGGTTGATACAACACAAGGGAGCACCACACCCCAAAAGCTATTAAGGTGAGAGAACCCTTGGCTATATAAACTCATCACCAAGTCCCCCATTTAATCGGTGTGGGACAATGAAATCAGTGTGTATCATTTGACCCCCCATAAGGCCCAACATCCTCGTTGGTCACGGATACGTCTTCTTTCCAATTCTATTTTCCCGTCTTCTTACAATACTCTCTTCCTCTTCAATTTCTCTCCAATTTTCTCCATTCTTCCTTCATGTCTCCCTTCGCCTCTTCTTCTTCTTTGATGCAGGACGCGACAAGGGCAGCTCCCCTAGGGATTTGACAAATCCAAGCCGATTGATGAGCTCCAGCGAGGTCCCTACATCCCTACAGTTGATCTCAAATTCGGGCTCTGTCGAAGCACATGCACATATCTTATTTTTATAGGAATCGGTTGATGCACCACAAGGGAGAGCCACACTCCAAAAGCTAGATATTAAGGTGGGACAACCCTTGGCTATAAAACCCATCACTAAGTCCCCCATTTAACCAGTGTGGGACAATGAAATCAGTCTATATCATTCGACCTCCCATATGGCCCAACGTCCTCGTTGGTCACGGCTACATTGATCACGACCACGTTGGTCACGGCTGGATCCACCAGGCCACCACTCCGACTTGGCTCTAATACCATTAATACAACACGTGGGAGAGCCACACTTCAAAAACTAGCTATTAAGGTGGGAGAACCCTTGGCTATATAAACTCATCACCAAGTCCCCCATTTAACCGGTGTGGGACATAGAAATCAGTTGGTCTGGAGAAGAAGTGTCCAAGATTTGCCAACAAGAATTTAGGTTTTTGATGTATGTATGTGTATATACATGTATATGGATTTGATAATTTGGAAATGAAGCCGTATTTATTTTAAGAAGAAGCCAAATTTATTTTTAGGAAAAGCCAGATTGTTGGATATCCAAATGGTTGGGTGGAAGGAGTAGAAGGGGCATTTTGAGAAATCATATCAATTTTTACATTCCACTAAAAAAGAAGCTCAGTCAATCCAGGAATAAAGTTTCTATATGGAGGGTGTAATATTTAGTAATACCGTTTAGAAATTAGTTTCCATTTGATATTAGTAATTAGTCCTTGTATTAGTAAAATTGTACTACGTATTAGATTATGTTTATTAGGACTCTATTAACATGTTCGCCGAGACTCTTGCAGAAGTATAAATAGAGGTATTATATCCATTAGTTAAACCATCAATAGTTGAAGTCATAACTTTAATTACGAGAAGCTAGTCATAAACTAATCTCCCCTCCTCCCAACCACGGGCAGGGAAGAATCGATATCTTCTTTAGCTTTCTCATCAAGACTCTTGGAGTAGCATAAAGAGAGGTGTTAAATTCATAGCTATCATGTAGCCAAGGCGAGGCGCGGCGCCAGTGTCACACCATGACGCCTAGGCGTCTACGAGACCGCCTAGGTGACAATTACACGACAAGTAGTCCATGATTATTGCTATAAATTAGTAACACTAATATAATATATCACATTACATGTTGTAGATGATAAAGATTAAATTTCAAATTCAGCAAAAGATTTAATAAAAGTTAAAGACATTAAAAATTAAGAAATAAAAGATTTAAAAAAGAATGTGTAAAAATAAAGGGGGTTTGGAACCTAATTATAGAATACACAAATTATTATTATTAAAAAAATATAGAGTATTAAATACACAACAACGACAACAAAGCCTTATCGCAGTAGGTGGGGTCGGCATATAGAGTATTAAATAATTTCAATAAAATAGAAGACTGAGAGATGCTACCAAAGACTAAGAGAAGACTACTGCGACTTGCGATCGTCGGCCAAAGAACCGTAGAAAGAGATGATAGAGCTGTTGTGAGCAAGGTTGTTAAACACTTAAACTCGAGATCCTAGTTAGGATCAGAGGAGGGTTGGAGGATCGAAAATCACAAATCATAACTCGAATCGTAAGATCCTAGAGTATTAGGTAATACTTATAATTTAACCCCTTTGTTCCAAAATGATGTTTTTACTTTTATTTTTAAATTGTCCTACAATAAAATTTGCACTATTTACTCTTATGTGGTACCATGTGCGTATACTTAGTATGGAGTATATAAGCTTGGAGTATATTACATCTTAATTACGGGGTATTTTTTAAAATAGTAGTTATAATCATGTAACCAAAATAAATATTGTACTGGAAATTGGAATAAAAAGAGATTTATCACAAATGAAACGATATACACTATTGCTCTGCAAAACCCAACCTGAGGGGGGAACAATGGGTTTGGCGATAAAAATGAAGTGATGAAACTTCAATAGCATAGATTTCGTACATGTACGGCTCTACGCTACTGTTCCACAAGACCCGACCCATTCTATGTTCCATAGATCTATCGAGGACCTCACAACCCAACCTGTTCTCTTCTCCGTAAGATCGAATCAGCTTGTGATCCTGCAATTCAACAATCAAACTCGACGATCCAGAGCGAATCAAACTCAACGATCGTAAGGCGTCTATGGCGATGTCTAGGCATCTGTAAGGCGATGTCCAGGCGAGGTTTTAAAAATAAGGTGAGTCGATTGGCCATGGCGAGAGAAAAAGGCCGCTAGGACGCTTAGGCAATGTCGTGATAACTATGGTTAAATTCATTAGTAAAATCATCAATGGTTGAAGTCAAAACTTTAAATATGAGAACCTAGTCATGGGCTTCACTCCCCTGACCCCTCCTTCCCACCACGAGTAGGGAAGGATCAATATCTTCTTTAATGCGTGCTAATGGTTTTCCTCTCAATTTCAAGCCAATATCTTGTGAGTACTCCATATCGTTCCTTGATCTCATGCACTTAAAACTTTTTTTACAATGCAAAACGTGATAACATGTGATGCTTGAACATATAATTGTGAATGTAATATGACCTCATTGTAGTTGAATTTGATTATGAACTCTGCTGAAGTACATATTTTATTTTGAAGACCTTTTATTATTATTTGTGACTCTCTATACAATTTGGCACTTCAAATAAAAGTTAACACTTCATTGAGGCGATGAAGCTAAATTAGCTAATGCAATACAAAATCCAGCCAAATCACCTCAACTAGGCAAAATGTTGTTTCAAACATTAATAAACATAAAGTTTATGGTGAAGCTGGTCTTTAATTGTCAGCCAAATGCAAATGTTGTACCTAAATTCTACCAAAATATAGCAAATTTGGTGCGGGGTGGGATACTGGCATTTGACTTCAACTGGAAGTTTGAAGACTTCAATGCACATTTAAGAACAATGCTGCCCCAAATATTGAGTCACCCCAAAAATATTTCCCCAAACATAAATCCCAAACAACATATGAGTTACTAGATTTCTTAACAAGTCATCTAAGTGTAAATAAAAATATGATACAATACCTTCCCATCTTCGGTTACTAATGCTGAACGTGAATGTTTTGGGTTATCTAAATCTTTCCAGCACAAGATATCTTCACATTGATCTGTACCCAAGAAATGATAATACAGTTCATGGTGTAAATTGGCATTTGTCTCTGTTCCCGCATCCAAATTATTGACATCCTTGGACAACATGGGAACAATTGTTAGCACTTTATGAAACTGTATCCATAATCGAAACCAGAGTGGCAGCAGAATAAGAATCCTTCCAACAAAGAAAGGCATTGTCTCAGAGCTTTGGTGTAATTAATAGAGGTGCTTAATGCATGCACCATGCCCTAAACCTAATCCCAATTCTATTCTTATGGCCTTAGCCAAATACTAGCTGAGTTCTTTCGTGGAGAAACACATACTGATTAGGTTTAGCACCTCCCTACCCCTAGATTACACTTATAAATGAGAACTGTAATGTTCAAAATTCACATGTTATAACGCTTATATGTTAAGAACCTCGACTTTCATTAATTAGTTGTTCTTGTAATATTACCATTATTATTATTATTAGTTTCCGATCATGGAGTATTATTAATTATTATTAGTTTCGTTATATGATTATTATTATTACAAATAGTAACAGGTTCGTATTAGAATTGGCTCTCTTCTTGTAAGACTTTGCCTTTATATATTCAACAGATTTATTAATTAAAGTAGAATTATATATTTAAAAAATTGTTGGAGCATATAAGAAACTTAATAGACACAAACTGTTCTTCTCCTAGAATTTCTTCTCCACCCATGGCGAAAGAGGAGACGCAACTCTTTTTTTCTTCATCTGCGTTCACTACTTGTCCTTAGACGAGGTCCTTGACCAACACCCTTAAGTCTTAACAATTTGGTAACAGATTCAGGAGGAACCATGGCCCCCTCAACAATCAACAACCTAGCAACACAATTGTGCGAGTTCATGGCCATAACCACCAAACTTTAGGCAGACTACCACAAACTTAAGGGAGAAGCAGCCACCCTCACCGAGAGTGTATGGTTGTGCACCGCAGAATAACATATCAGAGCAAATGCTAGGTAATATCAGCAACCATGATGGTGAGTTCCGAGGGGAAGAAGACTTCTGCAAAGGACACTTCGGCAGAGTGACACAAGGGACACTAAACATAGAATCACAGGTAAAAATCTTTCTTAATTGGCAAATAACAGTCGAATAGCACCGCCGTAGAGCTAGCAAACTGGTCGGTCAGGTTGGTTTAAGGTTCGGTCATTTCGGGTTCAGGTTCAGGTCGACCCAACAGGTTCTGCCCTTTTTTTTATTTTGAAATTTTAAGTAATTTTTAAGACCCAAAATCAATTTTACAAATAATAAAAACTAAATATGCAGAAGTTTTAGAATAAAGTAAGAAAATTATGCGAAATCATTAAAATCTTGTATGACAATATAAATGTATACATTAAAACTAGTAGTAAGAATAGAAATATAATTATAATCTTATTTTTATAACATTATATTTCATATTAAAAGTATATGAATTTGAAAAAAAATTACATTAGCAGGGTCAGGTTTGGGTTCAATCGGGTTTGACCTATTTTTAGCGGTTCATTATGGGAGTCAATAAAACCTTTGTTCAAAACCCTATATTTTTTTGTCGAATCTCGGGTCAAAACAGGTCGTTTGTCTAGGATTTTTATTTTTCGCAGCCTCGTCGGTCATTTGTGGCATGCGGGACAGGCTCGTGCAACGGGAGCTGAGTTTTAGAAACACGACCATTATAACACGAGGTGTCCTAATATAGTCTTGTATTCCAAATTATTCTCTTCATAGTCCTCTATATTTGAGAACTACTTCCTAATAAGTCCATTGGAGGAAAAGTTTCCATATATAGAGGACCACGAAGAGTATTTTTCCACATGTAGTGCACACAGGAATTACATGGAATAGTTCTCAAAAATAGAAGGCCACAAAGAGAATAATTTGGATTAGAGGACAATAATGGGAAACCCCCTTTTATAGTGTTTATAGAATTCACTCTAATACAAATAAAGAGAATCAAAACTGGCAAATAGCAACACATTACATAGAGTTAAAATATTTTGATCGAGTTACATTCTAGAAATAATTTAATTAATAAGCTTTAATGCTTTGTGCCAATAAATTGAAATTTTCTTTAGAATAATTAATGAATTATTCTTTGACTATTTTGAAAGATGAATGTTTGTGAGTCTACCCTATTAAGTAAACACAATTGAAGAATGAAAAGTGGAGTGTAGAGACTACATACCACTCTGCAAGGGGTGTGGGGTTAATGGGCTGCGAGAGTTGAATGGAAATCGGGGACATCAAGAAAGGACTGTGTATTTGCGCAAGTCATAAGAAGAGATTGAAACACAAACTTTATTTCCCTAAGAAAAAGCAATCTGTACCTAATTTTGGCAAGGCGGAGTGAGTTGTGCCACAATGCAATTTCAAGATGAAATTGAAAGAATTCAAAATGAAATGATTTAGATTTAGTGTTACACTTGTAAAATGTTGTTATGAACTAATAGTGTGCCTCTTTAGACAGAAAAACAAAAAGTGTTCATTTATTATGTTATTATGCACAAGGATTTATAGGACTTGAGAGGAATATAACCAAGTGAGCTAATCTTTCTAAGAAATATTTTCAAGTTTAATCAAGTTATAAAAATTGCATCTAATCTAGTTTATCAAGCGAGAACGAAGCATATTGAGGTTATGTGTTAGTTTTTCCTATAAAATATACAAAATGACATTACTCCTGATGGACATGTGAAGGCCAAAAAGCTAAGGGATTTATTTACAAAAGCACTAATGTGATTGTGACAGAATGTCCCTGTAATATGGTGGGCATGATAGATGTATGTGCCAACTTGAACAATGACAGTTTTGTAGACCTAAACCTGATCCTTATGACACCATAATTGGCTTAGCTCAATGGCCAATACTATTAGAGTTAGCACATCCCAAACCTAGATGCATTTATAAATAATACTCCCTCTGTCCTAAAACTTTCTTCCTCTCACCATTCACATGGTCAAACTTTAATCACTTTCTTTACCTATTTTTATTAGTTATTTGATCAAATTATATAGTCATGTCACCTCTTGTTTTGTATAACTTTTGATATAGTTTTTAAATATATAATTTTATTTTTTTAATTTTACACCTATAATCAAAAAAATTGAATTGAGAATAATTTATGTCAAACCTCGTAAATCGAACAAGGAAGAAAGTTTTAGGACGGAGGGAGTAGTTAAAATATGTTATGATTTGAAATCATAAGAATATAATATGATCAAAATGCAGGGCTAGTCCTAACATTTAAGAGGCCATGTGCTAAAATGAAATTAGGCCTACCAAATACAAAGTACAAATAAAATATTAATGCATTTGTAGATTGATTGACATATAAGATACTAAATTAAATAGCTAACAACCTAACACATAACAAAAAATTAAAAATGGGGAATACGAATCTAAATTTGGACTCCTATTTTTTAAGAGACAATGTCTAAAAGACATCAAGGCAAAAAGATTTATTTTATTTCTATGAAGAAAATTATTAAGTCATAATTTTTTAATATATTTAATGCACAAAAACTAAAAAAGAAATTCAAAAATGAAAGACTAAGTAACATTTCATTACATTGTAATTGATATTTTTAAATTCTAACTTTATTGGTCAACCTACATTTTTTGGAGGCACTCCTCTATTTGAAGGTCTTGTGCAAGTGCTCACCTTGCACTTGCCGAGGGTCGCCTCTGATCAAATGCCATATATAAATCAAATCCCTTATGTTCACACAAAAGGACTAATCCATTATCCTCATTTACTTAATGTACCGAGTCATAGATGGGTCAACATAAACCCATGAATCCATTAAAACCAAAAGACCAACAATACTAAGGGTGAGATTGGTGAGCTAGACAGATATGGATTTTTAAATCTCCAGATGTTCAAATGCGGCCAATAGTGGGTGTTTTGATATATGTCATAATTGATGTATATCAAATTTTGAAACATCCTAATTTCAAAATCAAAGATGCCACCCTAAAAACACGACTGATCCTGTCATTATCTTTTTAAGAATTCACACTCATATTTGTCTTCCTCTCCACCTCTCTATATGCTTTTCCTCCAACTTCGCATCATTCTGATAAAGCGCATGTGGGGGTCGCACTATCCAGCTCAACGACGATAAATTCTGATTGCCTCTGGTCAACGATGCAATCGAGCAGTCACGATCAATTGGGTGCTTGTTGTTCTTCGGCTTTTTCATTTTAATAATTTCAATTAAATGGTGCGACTGCACCAAAATAATCAAACAATACTTCCACTTTGTAGCAAAGTCTCCAAATTTCAGTTTTCTCCAAACACTTTTCATTAAGATTTCGAAACCCACATCATTTCATCCGGATTTCAAAGTTCATATCATATCATACCTCCAAAACTTTCCAAACGGACTCTAAGTAAACCACTATTCAGTCGTTTTTTCTTTATATTTTAACCTTATAATTAGAAACCACCGTAAGGCCACCTACAAAAGCATCATTGTCTCACCCGAACTGTTAGATCACTTGACACAACCATCAATTCGTGTGTTCGTTACTTCATTTTCTAAAGGATACATCACAGACAAATTCCTTGATGGATGGAAGACATTTAGAGCTTATTCTCTTCAATTTATTCTGATTACTTATTACTTATTCTTATTGGAATCATATCTAATCAGACCAGACAAGATCAAAAATAACTATAATGAGATCACATCAGACCAAATCAGAAATAACTACAATGAGATCACAAACCTGATCTATCAAACCTTAATAAAAGCAGATCAGATCCAATTAGATGAGACAAAGAGAACAAGCTCTTAATATAATCTAGACATTAAAAAACATTGCTTTAAATTAAACTCGTCGTGTGATTATTCCTTAAAGAAAAACATTTCCATGCACTTACATGGGGGCTGGGTAACGGCTGTAAAAAAAACCTTTGCTATCAAGGGTCCAACTAACATCAGAGAACTTAACCTACAATCAATCCAGCAGCACTCAGTAACAGAGCTTAGCATATTGATACACTTAATACAACTTCCTGCCATTGAAATTGATGTTCTCCATTGTGAGCTTACCCAAGAAACAGTATCTGGCAAGGCATCTTTATCTTCAATCCGCATAACTTTGATGGTGACCCAATCACTTCCACTCGAGCTAATGCCATACGCCAAGTACTTGGCATCTTCGCTAATAGTGCAAACACTCAATGCAACTGTTCCATCATCGCTAAATGTATTAGGATCAAGCAAAATTTCTGCTTTCCCATCCGGAGTATCCTGCATTACATTAATGTAACTTAAAAGCAATCAAAATATATTGATCATCAAAATGAAAAAAACACATAGTTCAAGAACTTATCACATCAAACAGAGAAAAATCCAATTTAAGATACCTGAACAAAAAGGACTTTCTGTGGTTGAAGCCCGCTATTGTAGAAGTAAAAATACTTGTCTCCGGCTATAAATGGAACCTCGTACTTGGGAAAATCATACAATTTGGTAAGTTTATCCCCCAGCTTCTCTCTAACATCACATTTCTTGAGCATTGAATCAGTTAGTTCTACTTGCTTCTCCACGAATTCCTTGGTCTCATCTGAATCAGGGTCTTCAAGCCTATTGACAATAATCAGATATAAAAACAGCTAAGTTCGAATTACAGTCCACAGAATTGCATCACTTTGGAGGGACTGAACCAACAGTGATAGATTCAATAAAACAAGGGAAATCTCGTTCCATGTGTACACAGAGAAGGGTGAAAGGGGGATTAACCATCGATAAGGGTCCGGAACAAGGACGCCGTGATAGTTATCTGCAACGGAATTGTCACGTCGAGCGATTGGGTACGTAAGATCATCGACAAAGGCTTGCGTGAGAGAACCCATCCTTTTCTGCTGCTCAAAGGAAACGAAGAAGTGTAGGACCTGTTGCCACCTTGCAAGGTTTTTCCGTGTTGCAAGGGGAAAAGTAGGGACGGACAAAAAAATGTGCATGGTACCATATCTGACAACCGTAATCATGTCGAACCGTTTATAATATTTTTAAATAAGATTGATTTTTTCATCATGAAAGTAAACCGAATGAATATCAAATGGAATGGGACTGTGATACAAATATTAAAAATTAATTATCACAAATCGAACCATTCAAAGGTATATATGGAGTACATATCTCAAATAATTATGGAGTATTTGTCTACTTTATCTTATGGTATATAGAGTACTTCATACTTTATCATTCATTTTTAAATTCTTTCACTACTATTATTGTTATTATATTTATTACTAATATTGACATTATTTTTTATAGTTATTAATAGTTTGATATTATGTGAATTAGAAAAAAAACTTTTTTTTAATTTGGACTCGTTATCTTTTACTCTTTATGTTTATGATCCGTTTAAATTCAAAATCAATACTCCTATTTAACAAAATTATGCTTTTTTATACAAACTTATACATTAAATTTAATATTCCTTGAGTAATGTACGTTTATTTTTTGGTACGATTTGAGCATGGGTATGGTATTGTAGCGTTCCGTTTCAAAACACAATGGTACCGAATGACTTTGGGGTACATCCCATATCGATATTGAATCATTTAAATAAGAGCGGTCCGTGATAGGTTCAGGTAGTATCACAGACCGTCACGGACAGCGCCCACCCCTAGGGAAAGGCGAAAGATTGAGAGAAACTGAAAAAAGGAATATCCAAGCCTCCTTGGCTAGTTCAACTGATCCAAAAAAAAATGTCTAGGTCATAGATTTTAAGATTGATTTTAAGATTGAAACCTGGCAACGGCAGTGTAGGAATTCTATTCTTTGTAAAAGCCCCTTATAGGCACAGGGCACGGGGTGACCTCTTTAAGAACCAGATTGAGATTATACCATGATTTACCCCTCTCACAATCCTATCGAGCTGCGATGTGGGCACCCAGGCATTCCACCTTTTTCAAAAAGGTAAACCATACTACTAAGGCTTTTTCTTCCGCTGATCTAAGGGTCTGAAAGAATTTGATATTATCTGAATGGGTATGATCTGATATGAATAAATATGAATAAATATGAACAAATCTGATTTGATTGAAACTAATTCAAAATCAAATATAAAAGAATAATAGTAACAACAATAATTATGATAATTACTATTGTTATTATTATTATTTATTTGAATTTTAATTCAGATTCACATTATAAAAATAATAATAATAATCATAATAATATTATTATTTAAATTTGAATTCAAATTCAAATTATTATTATTAGTATTTGAGTTCAAATTTACCTAATAATAACAATAATAATATTAAGTATTATTGGAATTTGAATTCAATTTTTTATTATTATATGAATATGAATTCAAATTCAAATAATAATAATACTTATTATTGTTATTATTCTAATATTGTTAATTTTTAACTTTTCTGATTTTGATCTAAATGGGTTTGACATGATCTAATATGAATAAATTTAATCTGAACTGAATGAATTTAATCTTCTCTACTCTGATTTGAATGGATCTCACTTGATTCCAATAAAAATAAGTAATAAGTAACAGAAATAAGTTGAAAAGAACGAGGCCTAAGTGGCAGAGCGTAGTAGATATTACAAAGTATTTTTTTCTATATTTGGTGAGACGTAGGATTTGAATTCAATATCTTCAAATATAACAAATCTTCCAAATAGAAGGTTTCGGTATTTTCGGTATTTAGGAGGTATCAATATGGAGATCTTATATCTCCGTCACCCATCGTGATGGATATCGAGCCCAACTAGTCTAAAGATCCGCCCAACTGGTTATCAAGGTTTTGGTGTAGAGTAGGCTCAGGGAGAATTACACGAGAGATTGGGTTCGGGCCTGGATGTGCTGGCGAGGGAACGAATGGGGGAGAATTACACGATTCCTGAGTGATTGATAACTAATTCCCCACTCATAATTGACGCGTCAGACCAATCATGGCGAGAAATGCAGACAGCAATTACATGTCATGTATGTTATAATATGTAGACTATAAATAGGAGTAAAACCTCCAATGTAAAACTAAACTAAATTAAACTAATACAAGCCTTTTGAGATCATATTTTGAAAAATTTCCTATTATTCTTGCAATTGTTCTTCGTACATCCATAGTTGGTGGGCTAAAATTCATTATTGGTGCTTTCACTGAGAATTAGTGTGAGAAAAAATCTATGAGAAAATGGTTGGACAAAGAGTCAAAAATGCTAGACGTGTGGTTGGAGACGCCTCTAAATAACATTGTCAATATAATGGCGAATGTAATGGAAAGGTTGGACCGGACACTTTCAGGGCCATCTCCTATCCCTCCTGGCCCTATCAATGAGCCATGATAGGTGTTGCACACGGCCGAACAATGTTCCAAACTGTTTTTGGAAACCCTCCAAGCTGAAGAGTACATCAAGAGGAAACATGAGGCGATTGCCCAGTGTCTTGAAACCCAAATGATCTAGAATGGGAAAGGAAAGCAAGCTAGGGCTCATAGAGAGCCCCAGACGATGATTTGGACACACAAAAACCCTCTGGGTACCGGCCAACCACGTAATGTGGAGACAGGGAACCTAAGGGCCATGGTGTTCAAGAGGTTTTCGCGGAAGTGGATCCCTGTGAGTGAGAGATTAGGGCTAACTCGAGAACAACACCCGGTAAAAGGTGAGCCTTGTTGAATCCTCGTACTTCGTAGCTCGTCAACGGGTAAATTTCGGGGCTACATGCAGAAGACCTGGGGCTATAATTATTGATGGTGAAGTCAAGGTACAAAGCCAGTCTAGAGTTCCGGCCTAGAAATCTTTGGGCTTAGCAGAAGAGGGAATGGAAGAAATCCACGATCTACGTCAGCTGATCTAGGATATGCAAAAGAAGGTGAACAAAGGTTGGGTTCTCACGACCCATACCGATACTCCCTTTGCCCTGTGGGTCCTGGAAGAACCATACCCATTGGGTTTCAAGGTTCCATTCATCAAGAGCTATGATGGAGAGTCGGATCCCAAGAGCATGTGAATAGTTACGTCTAAATTATGGTTTTGGTAGGAGCCTTGGATGCCTTGGTGGCCTGGTGTGCCGCTGTTTTTTACAAATGGTGGATGATAAGGTGGCGAACTGGTCAACCACATTTTGACGGGTTCTGTTACAAAGTGGGATGATTTGGGGTTGCGTTTCCACTAGTATTTCACAAGAAACTACTGGCCCAAGAAGTTGCGTCCATCCGACTAAAGGGTGGTGAGTCATTGAAGAACTTCCTAGCCCGATGGAGGAAAGAATCTAGAGAAGTCAAAGGAGCAGATGACAAGTCTAGGCTTGCCATGTTTACAGTGGCTCTACAGGAGGGGCTCCTCCATATAAATCTTACCACTCATCCATCAGACTCCTTTGAGGAAGCTATGGTCCATGCACGGTCGTACGCAACCCTGGAGGAGTGGAAAGAAGAGACGTCGAGTGAGAAAACTCCCTAAGAGAAGGAAAAAAAATCTAGGGGGAAGAAGAATTAGAAGAACAAGATGTAGGGCTTCCTAGACGAGGCCCAAGGGACAGTCTGTTGGGTCCTCTGAGATTCCAAAGATTGACAATCTGGTGTTCACCGCTCTTATGGCAGAGGTGATTGACCAAGCCGGACAACAAGGGTTTATGACCTACCCCGCTTATTATTAAAAGGTCTACAATGTGGAGAACACCGGGAAATGATGTGCATACCACCAGAAGAATGACAAAAATCTTGAGGATTGCTACACTTTGAAGAATGAAATGGGCATGATCATTCAGAGGAGACATTTGAAGAAATATATCCAAGCACAAGCTAAGAAAGATGAGACACTTGAGGGCTCCCGGACATGGAGAAAAAAAAGAAGATCAAGTTGCGTAGATGGAATTCGGGGGAAGAGACACATTGGTGTGGAGGACGAAGAGGAGGTGTCTGAACACACCTCGAACTCGCAAAAAAGGCATCATGGATGTAATTACATCATTGGTGGTAATACATGATGTAATTACCAACTTTGATTTGATTTCCACAAATCATGCCATTAAACCCCAATCAACTCTCATCCGTCACACATCATTTTTGGGTATAATTAGGGGTATTTTGGATCTACTTTTCACAACCATTCCACACATTGCATAGCCTTACATTGCATCATTCCATAAACATTTTACATAGCTTTTTAGAGCCTTTTCTTGAGGAATTGAGTGTGTTCTTGATCTAAATTAGTTTACTCATATTTTACTCTTTGAGAGAGTTTTTGTTCTTGAGTGGTTACGTCTTCTAAACACTTTAAGGGAGGTTTGTTCCCTTGGTTGTACGAAGGAAGGGCATATTCCTTCGGGTTGAAGTCTTAGAGTGCGGTATCTTGAGGAAAGTGTATTGAGGCTCGTGGGACTCGAGTTCTCAGGTTGTTACGGTTTGTTAAGCACCCGTAAGCTTAACAGAGGTAGTGTAGCTTGAGAGAGTCTCTCGGGAGACTGGACGTAGCCACATGTTATAGTGAACTAGTATATATCAGGGTGTTCTTTCCTTACGCTTTTTAATTCCGCGCTTTACTTTATCCCTGCGATTTTTATTCCGCAAAAATTTATAAACATTCTTGTGCCTCACTATTCACCTCCCTCTAGTGAAGGGCACTTATTCTCACAAGAAGAAATCTAAGATATACCCACCTGACCAACTTAGTGAAATTGATATTGATTCCTAAAGGTTATCTAGAAAACCTACAAGATAGACCTTGGATTAGAATCGACTTGTGAGGAACTGCTGCCCATTAAGACTCCCTTGACCAGGTTCACTAGAGATTCTATCGAGCTTGAACGCGTTATCACTCTACCAGTGGAGGTAGGTGACACTAAGGCGAAAAGGTCATTGGACATGGAATTCGTGGTGGTTGGGATCGTCTCCAATACGAACGTAGGCTTAGGCAAGCAAAGCCTGGAGGACCTGGAGTGCGTAATCTCATCCCGACACTTATGCATCATGTTTCCAACACCGTCCGGGATAGGTGTGGCCTGGGGATCCCATAGAGTATCCAGGGCATGGTATCTCAAGGCAACAAAGGAGCCAGTCAAGTTCGACACCCAGGCGGGAGAAGTAACCTCTTAGTTGCTGAAGGCGGAGGAGAAATGCCCCCGGGTTGAAATGGCAGGTGATGTGGAAAAGGTAAGCTTGAAGCCGACCAAACCAGACAAGAAGGTTAAGATAGGAAAGGGATTGGGAGCTGAACTCCGGTCCCAGGTAATTTCACTACTCAGGAGGTTTAGGAAGGTTCTTGCCTGGAGTCTGGAAGACATGCCTAAACTCGACCATAAAATCGCTGTCCACAAGCTGAATGTCCTTCCTAGAGCAAAACCGATTAAGCAGAAGAGGTGGCATCTTGCTCAAGAAAGGTGAGATTTTGTCAAGAAGGAGGTAGCCACGCTGTAGAGCTTTGGACACATTCGGTAGGTCTAATACCCAAAAGGCTTGGCCAACCTAGTCCTTGCTCCCAAGCCTCCATCCTAGAGGATGTGTGTGGATTATACGGACCTAAACAAGGCCTGTCCAATGGATCCATTCCTGCTGGTGAACATAGATCAAATGGTGGATGAAACCGTGGGGTGCGAGTTGATGAGTTCCATGGATACATTCAGTGGGTACCATCAGATTTGGATGCACCCTACAAAGGAGAAGACGAGTTTCATGACTCCAGAAGGTTTTGTATTTTTATCTGGTAATGGATGTAGGTTTGAGGAATCCCAAAGCAACGTATACCCGGATGGTATCGCAAGTGTACGTTCAAACAAGTCCTAGGACGGATCATGGAAGCTTATGTTAACGATGTGATTGTCAAATCAAGGCAAGCCTGAGACCACGTCCAGGACTTGGAAGAGGAGTTCGGGATCATGATGAAGGTGAATCTCTGAATCAACCTTAAGAAGTGTACCTTTGCGATATAAGGGGGGAAGTTCCTGGGGCACCTGGTGAGTCAAAAGGGGATTGGAGCAAACCCGGAAAAGGTGGAAGGGATCTTGGTGATGGAACCCTCGAAGACAACAGAGGAAGTACAACGGCTAACTGGGAGGTTGGCGGCCTTGAACATATTTTTGTCCAAACTGGTGGAAAAAGCTCATCCATTCTTCACCATAATCAAGAAGAAGGCAACGTTCGAATGGACGTAAGAGTGCCAGGAAGCATTTGAGGAGTTGAAGAGGTCCCTCGCCAATCCCCTTGTGTTTTCCAAACCTGAGCGAGGTGACACTTTGATTCTATACTTAGCCATTTCAGACTATGCAGTAAGCACAATTATTATATGAGAAGAGGACGATAGACAGCACTCGGTTTATTATGTCAGTAAGAATTGAGGGATGCAGAGTTGAGATATTCACGTCCAGAGAAGGAAATGTTGTCACTATACTGGACGGGAATGAGGTTGACCCCATATTTTCAAGCGCACCAGGTGAATGTACAATTGGCCTCCCTTTCCCAGAGCCTGGCGGTCTCAGCCCGGATGATCAAATGAGCTGTTTTCTTGAGCTAATATAAGGTTGAGTTCAAGGCACGCCCTTTGATTAAGGGACAGTCGTTGGCCAACTTCTAGAATGATTGTACGACAAGAGAGCAGACCAGGCGTTTAGAGCTGACCCGGGACAAATGGAAAGGCAGCAACAACAACAACAACCAACAACAACAACAGTAGCATCAACAACATCAACAACAACAAATACAACAAGAATAATAATAATAATAATAATAATAATAATAATAATAATAATAATAATAATAATAATAATAATAATAATAATAATAATAATAATAACAATAACAATAATAATAAGAATAAAAATAACAATAACAATAACAATAACAATAACAATAACAATAACAATAACAATAATAATAACAATAATAGTAATAATAATAATAATAGTAATAATAATAATAGTAATAATAATAATAATAATAATAATAATAATAATAATAATAATAATAATAATAGATGTAGACCTAGGATAAGATGGCTCAGCTTGCCTCAACCTACATCCCATGTGGCTATTTCATTTTTATCAATTCACTTAAACGTATACTATGGCGAAATATTGACTATATATGTACACCATTTTTTTTAATTAATTCTATATTTATACACGTCGTATAACAATATTTAAGGAAATGAAATGCTTTTAGAGCTTTACTACTATTGTGTAAAATATGGAGTTTTAGATTAAAAGCAAAATTCTAAATTAACATGTGCTCTACTATGAAATCTTGAGAGGACGTTTTAAAAAGCAGCGCTAGTAGAAAAGAAACTAGTGTGATTTTTTTTAAGTAACTCCATAACAAAAAACCTTAAATTCAAGCACACAAAATTATCCATCATTCAATTTGATTTTCTAACGTCAAATTGGACAACATTTGATCATCCATTAAAAAACGAAAACTAAAATAGTTTTAGACCAAAGGAAAATTACCAAAATAAATTATAATTTTTAAGATTTTATCTCCAAAATAAGAACTAAAATGCTTATAATAAGACAAAGTACCAATGAGGTCTTTGTATTAGGTAAAAATGTTCAATTTAGTGTATGTACTTCTAATTTAACAAATTTAGTACCTGTATCATTTTTTTGTTCAAGCAAATACTCTACTTTTTTTATATATTGCCTTGAACTCTTTGTGATAATGTCTAATTTTACTATACATGACATAGAATTATAAAATAAAAATACTCCATTTGTCCCTATTTTTATTACAATATCTTCTCTCCTTTCAACAACTTTTATTTATTTCCATGTTTTTATTTATTATTTTCTAAAATAAAATATAATTGTCATCTCTTGTTTTGTAAAATTTTTGACGTAGTTTTTACGGAGTAATATATCTTTTTTTATCGATATTCCAATTTGTAAATATAATGATTTTAAAAGATGAAAATTTTGCCTAGTAAATCTTAATTTGTAATCAAATTTAGGACAGAGGGAGTATATTCTCGGCATGTTAATTCATACTTATGTTTTTTTAAAAAACCAAGTGCAATGTGCATTTGTTTATTTATTTATCTATTGAAAAATATAGGGATAAAATTGTTTTTAATGACAAGTTAGCTTGCCAAGATTTGAGTACTTCGCGATATACTCCCTCTGTCCCAATTTAAATTGCCTATTTCAATTTACGATATTTGACTTAAGTTATTTTCAAATCATTTTATGTCAAAATTTATGTAGAATTAAAAAATAGTTGTAAAATTTATAAATTTAAAACTACATCTAAATATCTACAAAAGTAACTAAGACTTAACTATACTATTATATCAAATAATTAACGAAAAGAGAAAAAGAAAGTAAATAAGATTTAACCTTATAAAAAATAAAGATGCAATTGCATTTGAGATGGCGAAAATAGTAAAATTAGACACCATCATCATCATAATAATAAAAAAGTTGAAGAAGACTTCCTTAAACCGAAAAACTGTGACAGGGAAGTGAGGGAACACCGACTTGTTTGAATTTTTGAAAAATAGTAGTACTGTACTAGGTCTTATACTGTATTTTTCCACTTATTATATTGCTCGTAACATACTCCGTATAATATTAAAAAAATACCCGTACTAAAGAAGCATGTATACTCTATCACATTCTCGTAAATCGTAATTCAATAAACTTTGAGGATAAAAATATACCACTTCTATTTTACAGATAAAAGTCATATTTTATTCTTATTTTCAATGATTTCTTTAAATAAAAACAATATATTCTCAATCCCATAATGGATTATTCTTCAACCAACGTGCAAAACCTTGATTTTTAAATTTGCTTTATTTTCAAATGGTATAGAATTTTTTTAAATACTTTTCGGTACATATCACAAAACTATGTAAAATTTCTATTATATTGTATCGGAACTTTTCATATATGTTATAATTTTTTTGTCTAAATATGACAATCTTTGACCACAATTAAGTATAATCTAAATAAACAAGTATTGTAAAAATTTGATATATCAAACTTTATCTGTCTATCATAAGCTGAATCCGATTATATTAAATTTATATTATAATTCAATATACTTTTCTCACAATTTGTAATAAAAAAGTATTACTATTCAACTAAAAAAGTCAAAATATGAAGAGTTTTAAAAACGAAAGGAGTACAAAAAAGAAGTAAAAAACATCATTTTATCAAATAATGAATGAAACCATGCAAGTAAACAAATATTCAATAGGAAACTAAATTAGCACATGCGTTGCATATCTGAATCCTGCATTGCTTGGAAAAAAGAATGATAAACATAGGAAGAGCTTGAATCAACAGCGATTGTCGTGGTGGCGGTATTTCCAGCCCCGCATAGCATGTACAAAGCACTTAAAGCCGGCCTCTCTTTGGAAGCCGCATCTGCAACAAGTATATACTAGTGAAGTTTCAAACTATGTGTGACCAAGACTTTTGCCGGATTCTTATAGCCGCGGAAGGGAAGAATAGATGCGGACTTATCTCTTTTCTAAAACTCGCGTGTAGTCATGCGTATTTTAGAAGACGCAATTTGTCGAAAAAATTGTTAACCCAAATTCCAAAAATTAAAAATTCAAGTGAATTTTTAGCACAATACTTTGTCCAAAAAATAAAAAAAAATTGAACCCCAGCCACGGGCTTTTCCCATTGGACCCCGCAGGCCCTGCCGCCCCTTAAACCCTGCTCAGGGGTGCTATCCCCAAACCCCCTCCAATGGGGCGCTGTCCCCTTGAATCTCCCGTTAAACTAGGACTCTTATCATAACAAACTCAACGAAGCGTACACTCCACACCACCAAACTTGTTTGATGATTATTATGATGTCATTTGTGAAATAGTTATTCTAATTGCACTAAGGTTTCGTTTGGTACACGGAATTCAAACTACAAAATTTGAATTGGGAACAACAATTCAAATTCTATTGTTTTGTAGCACAAAAATATGCGGATTTGGAATTGATAGTCCCAAAAATAAATTGGAATTGGAGAATTCAATTCCATCCAAATCAATTTCATAGAATTTCAACTTTCAATTCAATTCCAATTCCATCAATTCTGTGTACCAAATGGACCCTTTGAATTTGGGGGCCATTTGGTACACAGAATTGATGGAAATGGAATTGAATTGGGAGTTGAAATTCTAGGGAATTGATTTAGATGGAATTGAATCTTCCAATTCCAATTCATTTTTAGGACTATCAATTCCAAATCCACATATTTTTGTACTACCAAACGTAGAATTGGAATGCTTGTCTCTAATTCCAATTCCATAGTTGGAATTCTGTGTACCAAACGGAGCCTAAGACTCCGTTTGGTACACGGAATTCAAACTATGCAATTGGAATTGGAGACAACATTTCTAATTTTATTGTTTGATAGCACAAAAATATGTGGATTTGGAATTGGTAGTGTCTAATATATTGGAATGGGAGAATTGAATTCCATCCAAATCAATTTCATAGAATTTCAACTCGCAATTCAATTTCAATTCCGTCAACCAAACGGACCCTATGCAGAGTATAACAATTACTCGGTAAAATGAGTTCTTTAGTGAGTAGCAAAAAAATGGAATGATGATTTTCATTAGTGTTTGACTCCAATGTCTAACCTTAGACTTTGTAGTCCTCCATCCTGTTGCTTTTGTATTATCAGGAGTGTAAGAGAAACTCTCAGTGGCACTGGGATCAGTCTTCGCAGTGGTGCTCGACCATGTCGGATTATTATATGGAGGGGAAGAGAAATTCTCAATGGAACAAGGACCAGCTTTCCCACTGGTGCTAGAGCCAGGGCATGGCGACAATACCTAAAATGTCCATATAAAGATTACCCCTCCTCATATATTTATATATACAATCAACTCTCTTAAATACCCACATGCATCACGAAAGTGATAGTCTAAGCATTATAGTAATCAAGTGACAGTAGGCGGGAAAAAACTAGATAAGTAGGTTACCGCTTTTGATGCTTCCGTGGTCTTTATCAAGAGGGAATCTGAAAAAAATAGTATCTGCAAACAGACAAGAGTACAAATAGGATGTGAGTTTCTAAAAAAAATTATTTATTTCCATAAACCAAATGTCCCAAGTAAAAGATTGATGATACATCAAACATGAATAAGGCTTAATGATGTGCTCAAACAGTGCAGGCCAAATACACACCTTGTTAAGAAATTGGATATTTGAAGCATCAGCAGCTGTGACTTGTACACCAAGGCAATTGGTGGGCTTGTCACAGAAAGGGCAGAAGACAGTTTTGAATACACATCCATCATCCTTACACCAAATCTCCTGATCAGAAATGCTTTCACAAGTTCTATTGTAGATTTGTTGATCAATTGATCCAATGTCGGAAATCAAAATAGGGATGCTTGTTGCTCCCAAATCAAGATCAAGTTTCCTCTGCCAAAGTGTTTTTAAGTGAACCTTTGTTAATGAAGTCATTGAACAATTAACTATGAAGTTGTTATGAGGAAGACCCAATGCACTTTTGCAACTTGAGCAAAAAAGCTGTAGTTTATTGTCCATGGCAAGGGTACGAAACATGGATCTGTAGTCCTCCGATGTGCTGATCAATGAATCACTATCAATACCCATGTTTTTACCTTTGAGAGATCTTAACCAGGGCTCAGAGCAATCATCAATTGGAGCGGTGGAATCTGTAGAATCAACTTTGTCTGCCTCAAAATGGCAAACGAATGATAAATCGAAGTGTTTTTTTCTTTTCTCTGAACGCGAATTTACACTAGAATTTATAGATGATTCTACCTCAGGAGTTATACAATTACCCAACGCACAAAGATATTTTTCTGGGGTGCTAGTCAAACAATTTAGATCTTGCATGGATGTAGTATTACGACATGCTGAGTTGTCTATATTTCCAACAGATGCTTGAATGAATGATGAATTGGAATATTCTTTGGAGAAAGATTCGGAGGAAGTTGAATGAACAGTGCCACTGGCCCTAGGAGTTCTCTTAAAAAAAGTTGATTCTTCAGAGTCACTACTGAAAGCTGCCATCAGTGCTTCTTTGGAGCACCTAAGGCTATTATTTATCAAATATTATTACACAATAATAGCATGAAATCTCATCATCTGATTATCATAGACACTAATAAGAGCAGCAGTGTATTGGCATATGCAAATTCAATTGAAGACTGGAAACACAAGCATTGACTGGGTAGGCATTAGGCAATCATCTGCTGCTAGGTAACAGATGAGGGGGAACAAAAATTCACCCCCACCCTGCAACTAGCTTCTCTTTTTTTTTCATTTGTCTCAAAATTATGTTCCCATTCCATGTTGGAAAGAATTGTATGGTGCTTTTTTCTTTAGAAATAAATCTCAACCACAATTTTATTTTTGTAATAAGTGTGCGAAAGAAAACATGGAGCGAATTTAAGGACAGATTGAATAACATCAAATCGTAGCATATTAGGAGCAATCAAGAGTCACCTGGATCTATTTGGAGAATCACATTCCAGATCAATGTGTTTTCTATTGTCTTTAGAGTTCTCTTCGTTCGTAGACTTAAAACTCTGAATACCAAGGCTCACTACTTGGATCTTACTTGACGAAGGCTTATCCACAAGATTAGCAACAGAGCTTTGGGTGGTGGCATCAATTGACCTCCCATTACGTTCCTGGTTAAATGCCGGAAAAAACAATAATAATTATATTTTGCAGTTAAGACTTAAGACCATCCCCTCCCTCATAACCCAAAAGAAAGACTTGTCACTGGAGTACCTTGATGTCTCTGAAAAAGAATTTCAACCTGTCCAATGCATCATCAAGGCATTCATATTCTTTAATCGAATTTCGCAACCACTTTGAAATGTATGCCCTATTTCTTGCCTCACAGAACCGCTCATCTGCATGTAAATGAAAACATCAACAATCTCTCTGAGAAATGATCCCTATGTCCCAATATAAACTTCATAGGAAGATGTGGCACACTTTCGAATGAAGAAAAATTGTGCATGAAAAAGGACATAGAAGTTTTTATTTGGACAGAGGGAGTGTCCCACAAGTTGTATTAAATCAGCAATGCCTATATCAGTAATCACTTAACAAGTATTAGCCAAATACTACGAAAACAGAATGCACATGAATGACTTCTTTATGATTTCCAATTACATGTATCCCGGTTTTGTTAACTAATTTCTTCTGTCTACTAATTTCCATGTACTGGTAAAACTACTTCGGCAAACAATTTCTTCAAAATAAAATAAATGTGCATCAGATAAGTACCTAAAAAAATGATGGCCCCATAGTCAAATTTATGTCGAATACAGCGACCTACAGGGAATAAAGGAAATGAGTATCAGGATCAAGACAGCAGAGTATTTCCTTGACTGAAGATGAGTACAACGAAAAATATCCCGAAGGAAACAAAGGAAAACAGATTGAGTTAAATATGAATCCTTTTATAAATCTCAAGATAATGCCATACAAAGGAAATATTAAGAGAAATTAGTCCAGTCACTGTTAAATTTTACACACCATATGTTCTTCATGTTAATTCCGTTAAATGGAGGCATAATGCTACCATAATCTTTAAACTTGCAATAACTGGGCACACAAGTAATTAAAATGTTACTTGGTAGCAACTTGGTCAAAGCCCGAGAAGGGATTAAGACCAAATACTCGAGAGTATTGGAGTATTACTCAGTCCTGTATTAGTAAATTTAAAAACCAAACTGCTGCACATTTGTAATAACATTTGTAAAATAAGTCTGATATACTCCCCCTGTTGTATCCCCTAGTACTACACCTGATCCTCAAATCCTTAAACAAATCAGTGGAATCATGTCTAAGTGTTACGATCCTTTCTGGAATGAATTCTCCAACCCCAAACCATATTACTTAACCCTGACAACCTTGAGCCTATCTCCATCCTAAAAGAGCCATATACCCTGCCCAGACTACCCCCTCCCTACTTGAGTCACTCCATCAAAATAACACATTTTGTGCCAAAAAAAAACCATATCACACAATAAGTCAATTTCCTTTTTCATTTCCCTAAGCTAGGGCCGAAACACACCAAGCCAAACATCCATATTTCATCATCCAACATCCCACAAACATTGTCCCCACCTTGTCCCCTAGTACAACCGAAATAACAAGCACAACAAGCCAAGGGATATTTGTGATTACTTTGACCTTTAAACCACCATAAAAGCCACCCTATAAAATCCATATTTCTCACACCCCACTGTTCCCCACTAAGGTTGAATGAATCACTCCCCAACCACCAAATATTCACCTCACTAGCCAAGCCAAAATACCCAACACATCACCCATCCATTTTGCCNCTCAAGCACATGACTGCATTCTCTAGGATTTGTGGAAGAAATAGCTTAGTATTTTCCCTTGTATGAGTGCCTTTAAATTTCGGCCATAGGCCTATTGTAATGCTCAGATTGTATTCTTCATTTCAAGATAGAAATACACTGGTTGTATTCTGTTTTCAAATCCTAATTTCTATATCTTAAGGTTGGTTTCCTTAAGTGTGAGTGTTAGGTTCTAGTATTTCATTAAGTGTGTTATATCTTAATTGAAATCTAGATTTCAACCCCAAGAAAGGATAAGAGTGTGTTATATCTCTTAGACCTCCTTGGTTTATCCCCGTTGCCCAATAATCGATTACCTGCTTGGAATAATCGATTATCCACTCACAAGAAACATCTGCAGTCACCAATAATCGATTTTCATATTTGTGTAAATCGACTATCAACCCCTTCAGAAACTCTCCACCAAATCCTTTGAGAAACTGAACCCTTCCATAATCGATTATCTCTTTAGGTAATCGACTATCACTCCTTCTCCATCTAAAACCACTGTTTTTCCTCAAACAACCTACGCCCAGATCCAACACCCCCGTCCCATATTAAACTTCTCATGTGCTTTTTCATGGAGTTTAAGAAAAAATGAAATTTTGTGGTTGAAATTTATACAGAGGAGAGAAACAATGTGAACCATTTAATGTTTTCCTTAAGAGGAATGGGAAGTTAATTTTGGGATAAACCCAAAGGAAAGTGGAAAATTTATTTTGGGACTGAGGGAATACTTATGAAGAAAAAACAATAATCTACACCCACAGCATGACTAATAAAGCTTCTTAACAAGGATCCTCAATTGTAGGCTTGCTTCAGTCAAAGTTGTTAATAGTTGTTTTCTGAACCAAGGTTTTTGTAAAAGTGATCACTGCTAAAAGGAACTTAGGCATAAATTTGTAACTTGTACTACTATGGTTCGTTGTTGTTGTTCTTCAATTTGATTTTTCAAATCTTTCAAATTTGACGGCAACTGAGTTACTTGTCAAGTAAAATGAGTCACCAATGAATGTTAATCGCCAAGTACTGTCTCTGGGTAACTTGGTTTCATAAATAATCTGACCATGTAGCCTACTCAACATGGTCTTGGGTTAACTAGTGTGTACTCACCAGTAAAACAATCTAGTTTCATGGTTAGTGCAACATTTTTATCATGTTATGTAATACGGAGTATTAACTAACACATGGCAAAACAAAGATAGTACAACAACAACAGTCGACCCGGTAATATCCCAAGATGTTTAAGCCTTATAGAGAGCCTTGGCCGAAGAATAGGAAATGGAGAAGCTAATCCTACCCTTATTATGATTAAGTAAGACTACTAGAATTTTTGAATTCTATAAAAGAAGCTAATCCTGCCCTCGTGATGATTAAGTAATACTAGTAGGATTAAGAAGCTTTTCTAATCTTGTTGCATGGTTTTAAAAGCCGACCAAGGCGGTTGCATTTTGCCTCTGAGGCTCCTCAGTGGCATACGCCTCACAATGTTGAGGCGGTCCAAGGCGGTAAGGCGTAACTGAGGTATAAGCCTCACTTTTAATAAGAATTTCAACAATTATAACAATTATTTTTAAAAAGCTATTGGGCCTCTTTACAAAAACTCTATTGGGCCAATGCACTATATAGTTTCTTAAGAAAAAGTTAATAAACCTAGTAGATAATTAACGCTTCTTTCCAAGACTTCAACGTCAACTTTTGTCACTCCATATTCAACCGTACTTCTCTCCATCTTCAAACTTCGGTGGACCAAATTCACTCTTGTGGTAGCCGCTAAGGTAATTGCTTCATATTTAATAGCTTATCTCCTATTTCTTTCTTCTTCTTCTTTCAACTTTTAATTTTTTAGGTCCTTTTCCGACATCCCTCTCCCTCTTTTAAATTCGGTTCAAGCTTCAAAGAATGATGTAACTTTTTTTTGCGTGAACTTTTGTCCATATTTAATATTAATATAAGGTTTGAAGATGCGTTTGAGACATTTGTGTTTACGTTACTGCGTTTAATTTTTAAAATTCTATTTTTTTTTTGTTTTAGAAATTAAGATAGGGCATCATTTTTTGTAAAATTCAGGATTTATGACTTTATCATTTATTTAACATAAAAATGAATTATGCATTTCGTTTTACCTTGGTGTACATATTTGAATATTATTCTTTTCAAATTGAACTGAGACTTACGCCTTGTTAACGCCTCAAGGCATTTTGCTCCACCAACTCAAGGCTAGTTTTCGCCTTTCAAAACCTTGTCTTGTTGCATACAAAAATGTAATAGACATAAATTAAATATTTAGGAAATAAACTTCTATGGAACACAAAAGTTGCCAAACATGGAATCTTGAATCTTGAGTCTTGAAATCTTGATTCATGAAAATCTAAATTACTCTTTCTTTTTCCCTCTACCCTTTCACGCCACTTATGGAATATATTAATAAAATAATAAGGAAAGTCTTTCTCTTCCCACACATGGAATATTTTGTGTATTTTGTTCACATCAAAATTCCTTCATACACGCCATAAATGAAATAATTAACAAATTCCGTACACATCTGTATACAAGGTTTCTAAACCATGCTAAATTGACATGACAATCAAAGAACCATCATCTAACCCAACACTCAAGGGGTGTACCTCTAGTCCTCTACTAAGAAAGTGAAAAAAGAAAGCGGAAATGGAGAAAATGCAAGGGCAGAGACTTCTATGTATGATCAGACCAAATTTGTGATTAATAATACACGTTATGAGCTCAATTGGTCAAAAAAAAAGTTCCCCTTAATTTCAAACTTCCAATTTCATGTGAGCTGTATGTGTTATGTTATTCACATCAGAGTTTTAGTGTCATTAAAGCCACCTAAGCTCCCTCGACACACTTCGCATTAAACATCACAACACTGGACCGAAAGAATGCTGAGGTGAATACAATACAAGACTAGTATAGAAATGAGTTGTTACCATTTTATCGCAATTTGGAAGTAACAAGAAAATAAAGACAAAGGACTTCATAAAACAATCTCATATAAATGATTAAGAAGATATCATATCAGAATTTTTTAGAGGTGCACCTGTAGCTTGATTAACAGCTCGAAATGCTTGCTGACAGTACCAATCACTACCACTAAGAATGGTTTTTGAGTGCTTATAGCAATCATTGAACCTCTTCTTAAGTGCAACTCGAATATCATTTCTGATCATCCACAGTAGGAGTGCAACAAATTAAACACAAGCAAAATAAACAAATAAGAAAAATATGTTGTGTTTCTCACATGTTTGGAAAGGGAATCCCAACAACTATCTGAAATAAGAATTAAGAAGCCCGAGTCATGATTGAAATGCCAACTAAACAAACATTTGAACAAAAATGGCATGTATATACAGTACTACTCTACTATTTTAACTAAGCTTGTGCTTTACTGAGAGCCAGAGATGTAATTTTGAAACCTCATTAACAGAAAGCCAAACAAGAACACATCATTATCAAATATAACCGTCACTAGAAGTAAAGAATAAAAGGTATGCACATCAATAAGGGCAAACAGAAAAAGGCTACAACCACTCTAGCCATCTCATCAGAGAAATCAATGCCTTCAGAAACCTGCAGTAATCGAATTTGGTTTCAAATTAAAGTTTACTTAATAAGTTGTACACTTTGAAAACTCAAAAGATAAAAAATGGGGTGGCAAGTAATGACATATCAAGGTAGCAAGCTAGAAATATCACGAGTAATCAGGATGTTAGATTGTTAGTTCTTTCAGAGAGTTGATACTTGACACCCTTTTTCCTTCTTGTGTATATAGGTTTTTTGTGTGATTCACTTGTAAGATTTCATAATATTGAAAACATGTACTTTTTATTTTCTCGACACCAAACAATCAATCTCTTATGAAATGGAGGACATTGGTGAAAGAGTGAGACACAACAAAATCATTTGCTCTCCTTGTCAAATGTTTTATGTCTACCTAATTTCTCCGTGCTTTTAGTCTCTGTGAGCAAACCTTGTGTCACTTTTTTTTCAAGGCCACTATTTGTTTTAGGATCTTTTGACTAAGAAGACTATTGGTAAAGGATATGAGCAATCACTGTGGTGTCCACTACACCCTTGAAACCTCCATTCCAAAAGCAATGACTTGTTTAGGAGTCAAATCAGACCTTGAAGTCCATTGTTGTTTGTGCCATCCATTTCTCCCTTTGCACCTTGATAGAATTTAAGATGGGGTTAGGATAACTGGATTGGGCAATAAGACATTTGAGCTAAACCACATTAAAAGATCGAATCCAATCAATTACTTAGTTCAACTCAAGAGCTTATATACTGATTATTTTCTTCACACTTTTCCGATGTGGATACTCTCTAACACTCCCCCTCAAGTGGACAATCGGGCAATTTTGAATTTAACCAGGTTACCACTTCCAAATGGACTCCCATCCCCTTTTTTTAGCGTCAACACCTAAAGGACCACGAGCCGCTGGGTATGAACTTTCAGGCAAGCAATCGGGTTCCAAAGGCTGTTGGATATAGATTCCACACGAACAACTAGGCTAAAGACTAGGGCTGCTAGGAACAAACGTCTAATTGGACACCTTAGCAAAGGAAGTGGGCTAAAACTGACTCTGATACCATGATAGAAATATAGAATTTAAGATGGGGATAGGATAACTAGATTTGGCAATAAGACACTTGGGCTGAACTACATTAAAAGATTGAATCCAATCGATTACTTAATTCAACTCAAGAGCTTATATATCAATTATTTTCTTCACGCTTTTCCGATGGGGATACTCTCTAACACACCTCTCCCATTGCTAAAGCAATCTTATCCTCAATTTCAACATGTAATGCCTTTAAATTGTGATTATGATAATAAGGTGACGGTATCTTAGTTTATCATTATCATGTTGATATGATATTAACAAGATATCTTAGTTTATTATTCTCATGTGCCTTTAAATTGTGAACATGATATCAGTTTATTATATACAGCCATATTGGACTTTGTAAAAAAATTAAAAAGGTGACAGTTTCTCTCTCTAACGATGGGGAAGAGAGGACGACCGCCGAAGGCTGACAGAAAATCAATGGGAGATGCCGTGGCTTCTTCGTCTGCAGGAAAGGAGCAGCAATCGACAATACCATCTGCAACGACATCTTGCACCAAGGGATCTGACACAGAGAAAGTGACATCTCCAGAAACTGATCGCAAAGAGGAATCGGTCGTGACTCCAATCCTTCCAGAGACTGATCCTATACAGAACAAAGCATTGGAGTCCGACATAAAGCTGAGGAAAAATTATGTAGAAGCCGTGGGAATTCAGGATGATCTCAATCTGGATCTAAGGTTTATACAAGCTGAGATGATCGACGGACAACCAATTGCGCGTCTAACACAAGAAGATGTCAATGAGCCACGTAATTACTGGAATTCGGCGCCCATATGTTGTATTTTGGGAGCAAACCCCCCTTGGGAAGTAATCAAAGAGTTTCTCTCGGATTTGGTCATTTGGAAATCCTATGAAAGTGATGGCATATCCTTCCTTAAGGAAAGCCAATTCATAGTTAGATTTTGGAAGGAGAAAGATAGAGATAAAATCATTAAACGGAAGTATTACTTTATGGATAACAAGCCAGTATTTGTCCAAAAATGGTATCCTGGATGCAAAATAGAAGCGATGGATCTCAAGGATGTGCTTGTCTGTCTGGGTTCAATTTCCTGATTTGGATGTGAAATACTGGAGTCTATCTGGACTAAGTAGGTTGGGAAGTACTATTGGACAACCTATCAAGAGGGATAGAGCAACTGCATCTCGAAGGAAATGGGCATACGCACGTATTCAAATTGAACCCTACCCTAGAACATACTGACTTTGATACCATGTAATTGATAATCAGAGATACTTCATTCTACATAATTACATAATACAAGTGACTATATAATATACATTAGAAGGGTGCTACTATAAGGAAACTAAATCACCCATATTAATACCCACACCAAAGCCTGACATTTTCTCAAGACTTAACTAAAATAATCATAACAAACTGAATGGAAAAATCTCTCCCTACCAGCCCCCTGTCTGTGTTCATCTCTTTCCTAGGTTTCCTTTCCCTCGCCAAACTATTTTATCATAGGAAAAGTAAGTGATTCTTCTACCTGGGTAACTCATCATCCCATGACATGTAGCTTCAGTCTCAACATATATCACTTCCATCACAAGTAGATTTAGGGGGTGTTTGTTTTTTCTGCAGGAAAAGGTCTGCGGTCTGCAGACCACTACTGTAGACATCTGCAGGAGAAGTGGTGGACCGAAGGTCTGCGGTCTGCAAGAAGAAGACTGTTTGTTTTTTTAATGTCTGTAGACTGCTATATAAATTAATGGTGGTAGTGTACGGTGGTGGTGTATGGACGATTGTGGTGGTGGTGGA